GACATCACACTGGCAACAAAGATCCATTGCCTAGTCAAAGCCATGGTATTCCCTGTAGTCACCTACGGATGTGAGAGCTGGACCTTCGGGAAGGCCGAGCGAAGGAAGATCGATGCTTTTGAACTGTGGTGTTGGAGGAAAGTGCTGAGAGTGCCTTGGACTGCGAGAAGATCCAACCAGTCCATCCTCCAGGAAATGAAGCCCGGCTGCTCATTGGAGGGAAGGAGACTAGAGACAAAGTTGAAGTACTTTGGCCACATCATGAGGAGACAGCAAAGCCTAGAGAAGACAATTATGGTGGGGAAAGTGGAAGGAAAAAGGAAGAGGGGCCGACCAAGGGCAAGATGGATGGATGGCATCCTTGAAGTGACTGGACTGACCTTGAAGGAGCTGGGGGTGGTGAGGGCCGACAGGAAGCTCTGCCGTGGGCTGGTCCATGAGGTCACAAAGAGTTGGAGACAACTGAACGAATGAACAACAACAGTTTCAGAGGAAGGAATCGGCAAACTCGTCTCTGAATATTCCTTGCCTAAAAAACCCTGTGTGATCACCATAAGTTAACAGGTGACATGACGGCACATGTACACACATACTAAAAGTCGGGATAAGGTTGAGCTCCATAGAACCACTGGGTTATTCTGCAAATGGGGTGACACCACCATCTGCTCACCCGTGAAATTAGAGGCATCATAGCAAGATCATCTGAAGAAGGGTTTAGCATTTGTGCGGACTTTCAGACAAATTGCTCTTTCCTGTCCTTTGTCATCCTTCTACCTTTAATGGACAATTCTTGCTCTTGTGACAGTTGTACTCCCACCAGTGTTCTTGACTTCTCCACTGACCCTACATGATCTACAGTTGCTAAGCATCATACTGGAATATTTCATAGCTCGATTTGCTTAGTTTGATTGGCAGCAAGCATTTTTCTGTGCTCTCCCGGAGTTTTCCAGAGGGCCCTGCCCCTCCTGAAAGAGATAACCCCCAATGGCCAGGCCAAAGCATGGCCAGCCTCACGTAGGACATCTGTGAGTTATGGGCTGCCTCCCATTGTCAACAGGCTCCCTCGCCATTGGAATAACACAGCTGGCGGCCTTTTGTGTCGGGAGGAATGGCTTATCGGACCCCGTCGCCCTCCTGACCTTCCAGTCCGCTCAGCCTTGCTGATGCTTACGGAAAGAGAGTTCTTTTCCTGGTCGGAGACTCGACAGCCAGCTTTTGCTGTCCCATACGCTGCCAGGCCATTCGCTTGGATTTACGAGCAGGGATGGGGTGCCAAGCCACAAACGTGATTAAATATTTTAAGAGCCCGAAGGCTCTGCGTGTGGATAGAAAATGTTATGCTTTCTGAAAAGTTATACGGCACCTCCGTCCTTTTGTGCGCTTTTGTTTGTGGTGTTTTGGGAGGGTTTTTGGAGCTGTCCTTTTGGAATCTGTTTGCTCCTTGCAGAGATAAGGCGGGGCAGGGGACACATCAACTTCAGAAAATGAAAACTGTGGCTTATAAGAAGTGTGTGTACTGTTTGTAGAAAGATAGTGGTCTGGTCCTCAAGATGGTCAGGAGAATTGTATGTAGAAATCATCCAGTCTTACCAAAATGATCTTCCCCCTAAATCAGTGGTGGTTTCTAATGTCTGATATAGGGGACTGGCAAGAATTTATTTTCCCAATGTGCCAGGTATGGATATTGCATTTTTCCTCCTTTCTTCACCATGGACCAGCATCTGGGTTGCTCTCCCTACATTACCTTTAAAACCCTTCTGCTTAGATACATTCTACCTCTGTTCACGCCCAGTGTTTATTTTAACATTTTAAACTATTATATCTGGCCCGGCCATAGGTTTTTTAAATTTTTCTGTGTTATGCCTATATGTGATTTATTTCTTGATTTAAGTCGTTGACGTGCTGGCTGATACCCAAACCAAGGGATGAGCTGGAGATGTCACTGCCTTGGTCCTTTCACTATTGGCTGCTACTTCCCGGAGGATGTCAGGTGGTGCAATACCGGCTAGACAGTGTAATTTCTCCAGTGGTGTAGGACGCAAAAACCGTGTGATAATGCGGCATGTCTCATTAGGAGCCACATTAAGAGCCACATCCACAAAAATGGGTGCTAGAAATAATATCATACGAAAGCTGACTGGCACAACCTGGGGATCACAACCAGACACAGTGAAGACATCTGCCCTTGCACTTTGCTACTGTACTACTAAATATGCATTCCCAGTGTGGAAAACATCTCACCATTTTAAAATAGTGGATGTGGCTCTTAATGAGACATGCCACATTATCACAGGATGTCTACACCCCACACCACTGGAAAAATTACAATGTTTAGCTGGTATTGCACCACCTGACATCCACCGGGAAGTAGCAGCCTGCAATGAAAGGATCAAGGCAGTGACATCTTCGGCCCATCCTCAGTTTGGATATCAGCCAGCATACCAATGCCTTAAATCAAGAAACAGCTTCCTAAGATCTAGAGAGATATTTGCAGGAACACCTCAGCAAACGAGAGTCCAAAAGTGGCAGGTTGAAACCCAGCACGTTAATCAATGGCTGAGACCAGATGAGAAACTCCCTCCTGGGCACACAGAAGAGTGGATGACCTGGAAGGTGCTGAACAGACTGTCCTCTGGCACCACGAGATGCAGAGCCAACCTTAAGAAATGGGGCTACAAAGTGGAGTCCACAACACGCGAGTGTGGGGAAGAGCAAACCACACACTACTTACTGCAATGCAACCTGAGCCCTGCCACATGCACAATGGAGGACCTTCTTGCAGCGACACCAGAGGCACTCCAAGTGGCCAGATACTGGTCAAAGGACATTTAGCATAATGCCAAGTTCTTTGTGTTTTTGAATGCATTTTCACTTTACCCTCAACTCACTTCTGACGCAATAAATAAAAATACAAAAGGCCATCACAAAGTGCCAAAACATGAAGGCGGCACAAAGTTCAGCCTGACATCACCGTCTTTGTAGTCTTTGACCTTTCAGGACTCTCTTGATTGATCTCCATAAAAAAAGAAGGGGTGAATGCCATCCCTTCTAAATGGCCTGCAGCCCCCTCTCCTCTCCTGTGCAGTTTAACATTCAAAAAGGGTCTTTCAAATTTGAAGTAGATTTTCAGCCAGTTCTGGGTTCAATTCCCGCCCCTGCCCCTCGTTTTTGGGGGCCATTTTGGGGAAATGTTTGACAGGAAGGGGTATGGCAATTGAAAAAAACACAGTACTACTGTGTATACAAAACTGCAATTTGTTTGTTTTTAACTGTATTAAAAAAAAGGAGTAAACAATATAGTATGATCCCCTTCTCCACGGATTCCGTATCTATGGCTTATCCAAGCTCCCAAAAAATACTCAACCCCAGAAGTGTTTGTGGGACTTATTCCATGATACGCATTTGGCCCAAGAATAGTAAAAATACAGGATTCCTGTTGTCCATGGTTTCAGGTATCCACGGGAGATCTGGGAATATCTCCTGTGTGGATAAGGGAGTCACAGTTGTTGCATTGCCCATTTTAATAGTAGTTATTGCTGTGTTTTATTGAGTAGTTTATTCAAATTGAGTTGGGCCTTTTATCATCTGCAAGTGTTGTTTTGTGTTAATTGAGATTGTTATTGTTATAAATGTAATTTACTGTATTTTTATGTGTTTTATGGCACTATTATGGGCTGTTCTGTAAGTCATCTCGAGTCCCTTCTGGGAGATGGTGAGAAAATACAAATAAAACAACAACAACAACAACAACAATTTGAGCCCCCAGTGGTACAATGGATTAAACCCTTGTGATGGCAGGACTGCTGACTGAAAGGTTGGTGCTTCGAATCTGGGGAGTGGGGTGAGCTCCCTCTGTCAGCTCCAGCTTCCCATGCGGGGGCATGAGAGAAGCCTCCCACAGGATGGTAAAACATCCTGGTGTTCCCTGTGCAACATCCTTGAAGACAGCCAATTCTCTCATACCAGAAGCGACTTGCAGTTTCTCAAGTTGCTCCTGACACAGAAAAAATGTTGTTGTTGTTGTTGTTGTTGGCTGAATGCTTGGTAAGAAGTATTGTGAATTATAATCCTTATGAAAAGTATTATTTTCAAGCAGGAGACTTTATTTGAGGGGCAATTTCTGAAAAGGTGATTTTTGTTGTTGTTGTCACTATCCCACCTTGCTTCGAACGGCACAGAAAATAGTAATATTAAAAATATAGAGGACCCCACAGAGTGTTAGAAAGGTGATTTTTTTGTTGTTGCCACTATTCCACCTTGCTTTGAATGGCATAGAAAATAGTAATATTAAAAATGTAGAGGACCCTACAGTGTGTTAGAAATGCTATTTTAGGAATGTTTCTTTATATTGGCATTACAGTGGATAGGCATTTCCTGGATGGCTTATAGTTAACATTGCTTTTATTTTCACCTTGAATTCCAGCTTTGGAGAGAAGGCAGGATATAAATGAATATTAGAAGGATGATTAGAATAAGAACACTCATACACGTGTTCTTTAAAAATAAGCAACAAATCAAAGTATCAAATCAATTTCCTTTAAATAATAATAACAAGCAAATCCAAGTGTTTTACAATCTCAGTGGGGAAAACAATGGAAGGAATAACTGAATGTGAATAACTGAAGGAGAGAAGCAGCAATGGAGAAAATATGTGCTAATGATATTACATGGATATTATCAGTTACGTACAAGGGCTTAATGAAACGGTACGGAAGAGAGATTTAAAGCTAGAGAGAAAGAGGGTGCCAGGTTGACCAAATGGCATTTTCCTGGTGTGTCCACCAGTCTATTTGCTCAGTACAGAAGGCCTGCTTATTACTCCCATCTGCTTGAATCCAGGTTTGTTTATATATGGAGAGCGTTGAGTGTCTCCTGTTGTTCATTGGACCCATTTCTCCTTTCTCCCTTAGCTTTGGGTGGGTTCTGGGGAGGGGGACATCAAATGGGAAGCTGGAAAACTTATCTTGGATCCCTTTACACCTGTGTCCCTTTCGTTGCAGGTGGTCCCCATGCTTCCTAAGCTGCTCTGCGAGGAGCTCTGCAGCCTCAATCCCATGACCGACAGGCTCACCTTCTCCGTCATATGGAAACTGACTCCAGAAGGCAAGGTAAGGAGGGCTGGCTTCATAAGTGGCCCAACACTTGGGTCAGTATGTTGGGATCAGCACTGATGCACCATCGAAGCAAAATACCTGGTGTGTGGAAACGAGCAGGTTGCATCAGTCTCAAAAAGGGATACGGTGAATCGAAGAATTCTCTATTAGAAAGCAAAACAATTCCAAGGAAAACTACACATCTTGACTGGCCACGTGGTTAACATCAGATTTTCTATGCAGGAGCAAATATATTTTAAAAATCAATCTAAGTCATGATTCCCACTTCCCAAAATAGCAATCAATTACCACCCAGAAGACCATAACTTCTGGGTTGTTGTAGGTTTTTCGGGCAGTATGGCCACATTCTAGAAGCATTCTCTCCTGACGTTTTGCCTTCATCTGTGGCATTTATTTATTTATTTGAAAGTTTTATATCCCGATCTTCTCACCTCCGTACTCACACCGGCTTACAGTAAGGATTCAATGCTACGAATACAAGTTAAAACTTTATACAACAATATAAGATTAAAATATATATAGATGAAATACATATATACCAAATTGCCAAGGTAAAATCATGTTCAGCTCATGGCAAGCATCCTCAGAAGTTGTGAGGTTTGTTGGAAACTAAGAAAATTGGGTTTATATATCTGTGGAAGGTCCAGGGTGGGAGAAAGAACTCAAGCACAGGGCAACTTCAGACAAGAAACAATCAGGAACACCTAATCACCTCTCAACAAAGGATTTTCCCAGGCAATAACAAGCCACATCTAAAAAATTTCAGGCCATCAAATGCTAATCAAGGTGGCCAACTGAAACATTCACACCTACCTCCAACAGACAAGAGTTCTTTCTCCCACAGTGGACCTTCCACATACGCTCTTGTTACATCCTGAATAGATTACTGCAACGCGCTCTATGTGGGGTGCCTTTGAAGACTGTTTGGAAACTTCAATTAGTTCAACGGGCGGCGGCTAGATTACTCACCAGAGCGTCATACAGGGAGCACACCACCCCCCTGTTATGCCAGCTCCACTGGCTGCCGATCCAGTTCCGAGCACAATTCAAAGTGCTGGTTTTGATCTACAAAACCCTTTATGGCTCCGGCCCAACGTACCTGTTCAAATGTATCTCCTTCTACGTCCCACCTCGGAGTTTAAGATCTTCCTGGGAGGCCCTGCTCTCGGCCCTACCTTTATCACAAGTGAGACTGGTGGGGACGAGGAACAGGGCCTTCTCGGTGGTGGCCCCTCGCCTGTGGAATGCGCTCCCCGGGGAAATTAGGTCATCAACATCCCTCCTCTCCTTCAGGGGGAAGTTAAAAACCTGGATTTGGGACCAGGCCTTCGGGTAAGCTGGCAGATGGACAAAAGACAGTGACGACCAGAGTAGGAAAGGACAATGACAGTGCTGGATAGATTATGGATTTATAAATTGGCGAACATTGACCACAAAATGATTTTATTGCTGTTATTGTATTGATTTGATTGTTTTAACTAGTAATAACTGTTGATGTTAAATTGTAAATTGTATATTGTATTTTGTGAATTGTTGGGCATCGAATTGTGCCTTTTGTAAGCCGCCCTGAGTCCCCCCCTAGGGGGTTAAGAAGGGCGGGGTAGAAGCACTCCAATTAATTAATTAATTAATTAATTAATACTCACCACAGAATAAAACGCCTTGTAGTGTATATTGATCAACAAAGACTAGCTGATCCACCCCTCCAGAAGACAGTTGGTGAATTTCTCACCTCAAAATTTGAGCTTTTTTAAAGCCTTTTTCGATAATATGAACCCAACCGCCTGACGAAGGCTCTTGTGAGTCGAAATCGGTTGCAGGTTGGAGTCAACTCATACTACTGGAGTCTACTCATATGTCATAAAGAACAGGACATTTACTCACACGAAGACTTTGCTTTATACTTCAAGAAAAGAACTAGTTGTTTCTACTCAATGTGAATGTGGCAATCCTGTTTTTTGATATATGGATGGATGGCATCCTTGAAGTGACTGGACTGACCTTGAAGGAGCTGGGAGTGGTGACGGCCGACAGGGAGCTCTGGCGTGGGCTGGTCCATGAGGTTACGAAGAGTCGGAGACGACTGAACGAATGAACAACAACAAATTTGTAATATATACATTGAATTAATTTAGTTATTTTCACATTACCACAATCAGTGGATTTTGGTCTCCACTGTTTTAGAGGAACCCATTTTCTTTTTAAGATTCTATTTTCCCCAAACTCGACCAGTGTTCAAATTTGGGCATATTGAGTATTCTTGTAGAGTTTGGTCCAGATCCATCATTGTTTGAGTCCACAGTGATCTTTGGATGTAGGTGAACTACAACTCCAAAACTAAAGGACACTGCCCACCAAACCATTCCAGTATTTTCTGTTGATCATGGGAGAACTGTGTGCCAAGTTTGGTTCAATTCCATCATTGGTGGAGTTTAGAATGCTCTTTGATTGTGGCTGAACTATAAATCCCAGCAACTACAACTCCCAAATGACAAAATCTTTTTTTTTTTTGAGTGAAGGACATACATTGGGTTGTTAGGTGTCTTGTGTCCAAATTTGGTGTCAATTCATCCAGTGGTTTTTGAGTTATGTTAATCCCACAAACGAACACTACATTTTTATTTATATAGATTGTGTTCACTCTTATGTTTTGTTTTTAGGCACTTGGTGCCATCTGTAAGCCACCCGAGTCCCTTCTGGGAGGTGGTGGTGGGATATGAGAATAAAGTTATTATTATGACATGTTTTCTTTTGAAAATGGGAATGAGCTTCCAATTACTTCTAGTTTTTAGCTTTAGTCAATGACTTCTGGAGAGGTGGCTCCCATATCAAGTTCCAAGTGAGGCCAGTTGATCATGTGATGTGTCACAGTTGTGCAGTCATGCCATATGCCTTCTGAACATAGTGACTTCATCCAGCCACCTAACAGTTATAGATAAATCTTTGCTCCATAATGAAGTGTTGTTGTATGTCCTTCCATTATCACCACAACTTGCTTTCACCTTTGCTGCTTCTGATCCTGATCTGCCACTAGCTCACCTGAGTTCAGGTGTCTGCCAGAGTTCATGTTGTGGTGGAAGCCACTTGAACATTTTATGTTATTGCTTCCTGTCAAAAAGCTTTGATCTTTTTGCCCTTGGGTATGGAAAACAGCTTTTGATGGGAAATCCTTGCTTTTGCCCACACCTAGGCAACAACATTTTAATCTGTCGAGATTTATGGAATTATTTCATATCTGAATTGACGATGTAATGGCTCTGAGATACTCTCTATGAAGCTCTGCCCTTGTGGGCCAAGATTAACGAGGAATTTGCCTTAATGCAGCTGTTACCGAGAATCAGGGATTGCAAGGGTGAGAAAAAGATGGGGGTGAGGGCCTCAGAGCCGTAATGTGTCATGCTAAGAAGGCGCATGAGTTTCTTCATGGAGAGTTTATGTGGATGCAGGCAATTAGGACCTGTCTCCAACAACAGGATTTTCGTGTTGAGTTGGAGCAAGCTTTCAGGAGGGTGTCCAAAGAAATGCATTACTCTGATGTGCAGAATCAAATACAGTATAGGAACTATTTATTCCTCGTTAGCCAGCTAATTATTTGTTTTCTAGTGGCTATTTTATTTATTTATCGTGTCAGGGGCAGACCAAACAGTTGCATTGCATTTTTAACAAACAAACAAACAAACAAACAAACCACAACGTTTGCAAGCTTGGTAGTTGATTAAATGGCCTTTGACCAGTATCTGGCCACTTGGAGTGCTTCTGGTGTTGCCGCAAGGAGGTCCTCCCTTATGCATGTAGCAGGGCTCAGGTTGCATTCCACAGGTGGTCTGTGTTTTGCTCTTCTCCACACTCGCATGTCATGGATTCCACTCTGTAGCCCCATTTCTTAAGGTTGGCTCTGCATCTTGTGGTGCCAGAGTGCAGTCTGTTCAGCGCCTTCCAAGTCACCCAGTTTTCTGTGTGCCCAGGGGGGAGTTTCTCATTTGGTATTGATTGAGGTTCTGGGTTTGAGCCTGCCACTTTTGGACTCTTACTTGCTGAGGTGTTCCAGCGAGTGTCTGTGTAGATCTTAGAAAACTATTTCTTGATTTAAGTCGTTGACGTGCTGGCTGATACCCAAACAAGGGATGAGCTGGAGATGTCATTGCCTTGGTCCTTTCACTATTGGTTGTTATTTCGCGGCGGATGTCAGGTGATGCAATACCGGCTAAACAGTGTAATTTCTCCAGTGGTGTAGGGCGCAGACACCTCGTGATAATGCAGCATGTTTCATTAAGAGCCACATCTACTGTTTTAGCATGATGGGATGTGTTCCACACTGAGCATGCATACTCAGTACCACAGTAGCAAACGTCAGGAGAGAATGCCTCTAGAACATGGCCATATAGCCCAAAAAATATCTACAACAACCCAATGTAGAAAATGTTTTCTAGAGCATTTAAGTATAGATTCTATGGCCCTTTAACATATGGGGAAGACCTCACCTCTGAATTCACTAGCAAGTTCAGGTACAATCTTGCAGGTCTGCGGCTGTGTGGGTAAACAAGGGATATCCTCTTTCCCTGTGAGTTTCTCCTCTACATTGGCATCACATCTCTTTCCTCATTTCCCATCTTGATGTTTCAGATTCTTGACGAATGGTTTGGGCGGACGGTGATCCGTTCCTGTGCAAAGCTCAGCTACGACCATGCCCAAAGTATGATCGAGAACCCCGAGAAGGAGTTTGGCACGCAGGAGCTCCCTCCTATCTCTTCCCAGCATTCAGTTGCCGAAGTTCGCCAGGCAGTCCTCAACCTCCATCAGATTGCCAAGAAGCTGCGGAACCAGCGTTTTGAGGATGGCGCTCTTCGGTTGGATCAGGTCAGTCTAGTCTATTAAGTTGTAAAGACAAAATGGGGCCATGCCTTCTCTCCCTCTGCCCTTTCCTACTTCCACAGAGTTCCTTGGAGAAAAGGTGTGTGTCAGGGCTCATAGGAGTACTCTTAAATAATTGCAGCTTTTAATTAGGCAAACAGTAGGTTGCATTATTAAATAGCAGCAAGGTTCCCGGTGTTGCCTGTGTTATGTATTTTTGTATAATGCTATTTATTGAGCTCCCTGGTGGCGCAGTGGGCTAAACTGCTGAGCTGCTGAATTTGCTGACCGAAAGGTCGGCGGTTCAAGTGGGTAGTGGAGTGAGCTCCCACCGTTAGGCCCAGCTTCTGACAAACTAGCAGTTCGAAAACATGCAAATGTGAGTAGGACACAACTAGACTTAATGTCAAGGGGAAAGCTTTACCATTACCTAGGTGGCGCAGTGGGTTAAAGCACTGAGCTGCTGAGCTTGTTGACCAAAAGGTCGCAGGTTCAATTCCAGGAAGCAGCGTGAGCTTCCGCTGTTAGCCCTAGCTTCTGCCAACCTAGCAGTTCGAAAACTTGCAAATGTGAGTAGATCAATAGGTACCGCTCTGGCGGGAAGGTAACGGCGCTCCATGCGGTCATGCTGGCCACATGGCCTTAGAGGTGTCTATGGACAATGCCGGCTCTTTGGCTTGGAAATGGATGTGAGCACCACCTCCCAGAGTTGGACACGACCAGACTTAATGTCAAGGGGAAACCTTTACCGTTACCTAATACTAGTTATTGGCAATAGTCATTGTTTGGTTTTGGATTTTATGAATGGATCCATTATAAAATTGTAGAGGTGATGGGGTGCAACTCCCATCAGCCCAAACCTCTTCAGACTGCAACTGTCAACAGTTTCCAGATTTGACCAGTTGTTACTCCCATTATCTGCAGATCTGGTGGAGTGCAATTCCCATTAGCCCCCAATCTAATGGGAACCCCTCAGGTTATTGTTGAGATTGATATGGCTCTCTGGATGTGGATGGTCTACAACTCTCATGACCCTCTGTCAATCGCCCTGAAACATTGCCAATATTTTAAGTTGGTCATGACCGGTATGCGTGCCAAGTTTGGTTGAGATCCATCATCAACGGGATTCACACGGTTCTTCGGATGATGGTGAATTACAACTCCCCTCATCCTTTGTCAGTTTCCCCTAAACTCTGGCTACAGATATTTATTATATCAGTTACTACAGTGGTTCCCAACCTGTGGTCCATGGACCACCAGTGGTCCACAAGAACTAAAATATGGTCCACGGCCTCACTGTTACTACCCCATTGCAACAAGAGTGACTGGTCTTGCAAAGCCCTCTTATAGTTCCAAGTATTATTAAATATGGTTTTCTATGGGTGAGCATATGGTGACTATTGGATGGCATATGTTCTGTATCAGAAACTAGAGCTGATGTGGTCTAGCCAATGTAATTTTCTGAATCAACACCCCAAATAACCAAACCGAATCTATTGTTGACCATAAACCCTTTTTGTACTCATGTTGGAGAGTGGTGAACCATGAAAATGAACAAAATCTGGCTACCAGTATTAAAAAACTCTAAAATTAGCACAGCACAACAACAGAGGGGAAACAAACAAGGACCTCTAATCACCTCTCAACAAAAGTTTACTCCAGGCACTGTCAGGCCATTATATGCTAATCCAGGTGGTCAGTTGAAACATTCACACCTAGCTCCAGCAGACAAGAGTCCTTTGTCCCACCCTGGTCATTCCACAGATATATAAACCCTTTTTCTTAGTTCTAACAGACCTCACTACCTCTGAGGATGCTTGCCATAGATGCAGGCGAAATGTCAGGAGAGAATGCCTCTAGACCATGGCCATATAGCCCGAAAAAACCCAGGATCTGATGCTGTTAGGTTACGGAGGGCAACTCTCTTGTAGTTTTCCAGATGTTTCAGGGTTATACTCAGGCAAGAAGTGAAGATTAGGATGTAAGAATGTGCCCCTTCAAAGTTGACTCCATGGCACATAACACTATTGGCATTTATATCTAACACTGGTAGTTAATCGTGGTATGAGAGTGGATTGAAAGGCTGACTTTTCCTTTGCATTTGACCAATGCTGTTTGGGGTGTATAGAAAAAGGTGGCTTTTCTTTCCTTGCTTCACTTCTTCTTCACGCTGTTGCTGACTCCACTGTGGCTTAGTCTTGGGGGAGCTTCCCATTAATTATGGCTTTGAAGGGTGTGAAAAGTGCACACAATTAATTTTGTGAAGGGCCTTTTCTTTGCTGTTCTGAGCTGATCAGGCTCCCCCTCTGGAGAACTGGAAAGGAGACAAAAGATGCACAGGGAGGGAGAAAAGAGTGATGGGCCATGAAGCACATGCCTGTGAGTTCTCAGGACTCCGGAGACCAAGGAGGCCCTAGTCTCTAGAGATGCAGAAACCAAGCTTGCCCCCTCCTCAATATGACATCCTTTCAGATATTTAAACATGGCTCTCATATGCTCTTCTCTCGGCCTCCTCTTCTCCAAGCTAAACATACCCAGCTCCCTAAGCTGCTCCTCATAGGGCTTGGTTCCCACAACTTTGACCATTTTGGCCACCCTTCATGGGACACACTCTATTGTGTCAATACACGTCTTGAATTGTTCTTCCCAGATCTAGACACAGGTTTATTCCAGGTGAGGTTTGACCAAAGCGGAATAAAGAGAGACTGTGACTTCCCCTGACCTCGACACTATGCTCTGATTGATGCAGCCTAGAATCGCATTGACTTTTTCAGCTGCGGCATCACACTCCTGGCTCGTGCTCAGTTTGTGGTCTACTAAGAGTCCCAGATCCCTTTCGCATGGACTGTTTCCAAGCTAGGTGCCACCCATCTTTTATTTGGGCATTTCATTTTTATTGCCAAAGGAAATTACCGGGCCCAAACTAACACAATGAGGTTCAATGGGAACAAATGCAAGATACTCCACTTAGGCAGAAAAAGTGAGATGCAAAGATACAGAATGGAGGACGATGCCTGGTTCAACAGCAGGATGTGTGAAAAAGATCTGAGTTCTCGTGGGGAGGAAGGGGAACATTAGCCAGTTATGCAATGCGGCAGCTAAAAAAGCCAATGGGATTTTGGTCTGCATCAATAGGAGTCTAGTGTCTAGATCCAGGGAAGTCATACTACCCATGCTCTATTCCGCCTTGGTTAGACCACACCTGGAATACTGTGTCCAATTCTGGGCACCACAATTCAAGAGAGATATTGACTCTAAGCTGGAATGTGTCCAGAGGAGGGCGACTAAAATGATCAAGGGTCTGGAGAACAAGCCCTATGAGGAGCGGCTTAAAAAGCTAGGCATGTTTAGCCTGCAGAGGAGAAGGCTGAGGGGAGACATGTTGAGGGTCATGTATCAAGATGGGGAGGGAGTCATGGGGGGGGGGAGGGAGCAAGCTTGTTTTCTGCCCTGAAGACTAGGACGCAATGGAACAATGGCTTCAAACTAGAGGAAAGGAGAGTCCACCTGAACATGAGGAAGCACTTCCTGACTGCGAGAGAAAGCTGTTCAGAAGTGGAACTCTGCCCTGAAGTGTGGTGGAGGCTCCTTCTTTGGAAGCTTTTAAGCAGAGGCTGGATGGCCATCTGTCTGGGGTGCTTTGAATGCAGTTTTCCTACTTCTTGGAAGATGGGGTTGGACTAGATGGCCCACAAGGTCTCTTCCAACTGTAGTGATTCTATGATTTCTCCCTGTCAAAATCAATTTTGTTAGTTAGCTAGCTTCCAATCTGTGAAGGTCTCTTTGGATTCTGATCCCATCTTTTGGAGTGTGAGCTATTCCTCCTAATTTGGTGTCATCTGCAAATTTGATCATCATGCCTCCTATCCTATCATTCAAATGATTGATAAAGATGTTCAATCCCACTGGGCCCAGGACAAACCCTTTGGGTTTGGTTAGTCAACCAGTTCTCAGTCTACTTAACAGTGGTTTCCAATGTTTGGAAAGTTCTGTTTCTTAGGTTGCTTTCCTGCCTAGCTGGCATTTGAAAGTGATGAAAAAGTAAACACTTCTACTTTGCTGAGAGAGTTGCCCCGTTCTCTTGACTGCTGCTTTTAAAACTCCTAAGAGCAATTGTGCTCTTTTTATGACCTGGAAACTGCAAAGTATCCTCCTCCAGTGGGAAGGCTAGCCTACCATGTCAAAATAAGCTGTAGCAGGGGAGCAGTTTCATTAAAACGAGGAAGCCAAGTGATATTGCTTTTGCAAGTAATCTCTTCTCCTAAAGCGCTTGGTGATTTTACACGCTAGAGCTGCATCGGCTGCTCAGTTTGTGCAGTGAGCAAGGCTGTTTTGTGCAAAGGGAATGGGACAGGAGTGGGCCTGTAGAAGCAGGATTCCCATGCAGCAAGGTAATTGCTTTTTCTTCAAAAGGCAGTCGCTGCTCATTCATGGCACGGGTGGGTGGGTTCCAAAAGGACTGTGCTCTTGCAGTGAGGCAGCACATTAATAATCAAACAGTGAAAAATGCAAGTTTTAGAAAGTAGTGTAAATTTGGCACACTTGTTGAAAAGACAGTTCCTCTGTGACACAGAAAGAGGCAACGTTGCCTTAGGCTCAGATGGTCTGTGCAGTTCTGATTATCAGGAAATCCTTGGGGTGTTTGTAACCCACTTTCCTAATCTCCTTGAGTTAGCACTAAAAGAAATGTGCATCTGATACAACCTTCCCGAAACTAATACACTAGACTACAACTCTTGTCATCTTTACCAGCTATGTTGGCTCGTTATATTGGAATTGGAGTAACCTGGAATGGCACAGAGGCCCTAACCAAACTGCCATATAACGGAGTTCATCAAAGATTACTGCAGACGCAGACTGCAGCCAGGAAATGTTAACTTCTTGGGAGGAGAGCAATGACCAATCTGGATAAAATAGTGAAGAGTAGAGACATCACACTGGCAACGAAGATCCACATAGTCAAAGCAATGGTATTGCCTGTAGTAACCTATGGAGGTGAATTGTTG